GTTAATCAGTTTTTAATTTTAATCCATTTTAATTACATCAGTAGTATTTAGGAGTGCCTCTCAATTTCAAGTGTCTCAAGTTATGACCAGTTGGTAGGTAAAACAAGACTCTCATCTTTGTTATAAAATATACTTAAAAAAAAAAACTGGTGAGATTGAGTAGCTTGTGAATTATTATTTAAGAGAAGTATATTTTTTGTATAAGTTTAAATATAATGGCTTTATGGTCAGATTATTTACTAAATTTATGTTTCTTCTGTTTTCTGAATTTTTATGTTGTAATTCCTAGTTTTAGGAGATGGACGACTGTGTCTGACAAACCTAAACGATAGCTTATCCAGTACTCTGCATGATGCCCTTGAAATGGTAAGAAATTATCGCCGCCCCCCCCCCCATTGAATTCTGACACAAAGAGTATTTTGATACACTTGTTGCCATTGATTAGGGTTTTTCTCAAATATTTGAGTTATAAGTATAAAATTTAACAGAATATCCACGAAGGAATTTAAGATTTCTTGCACATTTCATTATCATATTTGCACATTTAATTATCATAATTGTGAGAATGAAAAGAAAACTATTAATCTCCGTGGCTCCAGTAGTTCAAAAATACACAGGTAATGTAATTATATGATGAAAATCTAGCTCAGTACAAATTGTCATATGGATATATTGCCTTTACAATATTTCAAACAGGATATTATCTGTTTAAACCAGCTTTCTTATAATATATTTGTTATTTTCCCCTAACCAGGATTATAATTCTTTGCGCTAAAAATAATTCAATTCATTGGCATAAGAAAAAGAAACTGAAATAGGACACAGTGGGTGGTACCATCACTTCCTAGTTATTACATAGCACTATGGAATAAAAAATAGGCATTGAAAAATATATTATAATTATTACAATATGTGTAATATCAATTCATATTATATGTAATATCAATTATCACATACATAAATATCATACAGAAATGATAATAGGAACTTTCTTTTGAAATACTATGATGGAATAGAAATCTTTCCTTTTTATATATATTTTCAGCAATCTAAGCAAGGACAGGTAGTTGTACTCAACTCTCATCTATGTTTATCTATAGCCTTTGCTAAGCATTGCTGATATTGTTACTCTTTTTTTTAAAAAAGTTTGATGATTTTGGACATACGTATACATCTGTAAAGCCATTACTGCAATCAAGATAATGACTATATCCTCATCCATCATTCCCCAAAGTGTCCTCATGCCCTTTTGTAATCCCTTCTCCTCATCTCCTATGAGTCCTCTCATCCACCACGTCTACCACAACTGTTGGTCTACTTTCTGTAACTGTAGATTAGTTTGCATTTTCCAAAACAACAGAAATGGATATCTTTTTTTCCTGGTTGCTTTAACTCAGTATTATTATTTTGAGATTCATCTGTATTATAGTGTGTATCATAGTTCATTCCCTTTTTTTTTTCTTTTTTCTTTTCTTTTTTGAGAGAGAGTGTGAGGTGAGAGAGGGAAGAGGGAGAGGGAATCTTAAGCAGGCTCCATGCTCAGCACAGAACCCGGCACAGGGGTCAGTCTCACCACTGTGAGATCGTGACCTGAGCCAAAATCAAGAGTCGGATGCTTAGCTGATTGAACCACCCAGTCACCCCTATTGGGGTGAACTATTGTTCATTCCTTTTTATTGCTGAGTAGTAATATGTTGGATGGTTGTACCACAACTTTTCCATTTACCTGTCACTGGACATTTGGATTTATTCCAGTTTTGACTATCACAAATAAAGCAACTATAAACATCTGTGTATAAGTTTTGTATGGACATATGCTTTCATTTCTCTTGGGCAAATACCTAGGAGTGGAATGGATGGATAATGTGGTAGGTGTATGGTAAACTTTTTAAGAAAAGCTGTTTAATTTGATCTGCTAATTTTTTTTTTTAACATTTATTTATTTTCAAAAGACAGACAGAGTGCGAGTGGGGGAGGGGCAGAGAGCGAGAGGGAGATAAAGAACAGGAAGCAGCCTCCAGGCTCTCAGCTGTCAGCACAGAGCCCAACGCGGGGCTCAGACCCACCAACAGTGAGATCATGACCTGAGCTGAAGTCAGACGGTTAACCAACTGAGCCACCCAGGTGCCCCTGATCTGCTAAAATTTTGTGTTGACTTTTTTGCATCCATGTTTTATAGGAATTACATTTTACAGGAATTTGCAAAGAGTTTTGGACTTCGCTCAAACATATAGTTAAGTTACCTAAAGACAGTTTTTACCCTTTTGAGTCTTGTTTTGAAGATTCATTGGGCAAGACCAGAGCAGTACTCACTCCCCACTTTGGAGGCAAGACCCTTCTATGCGCTCCAACCAGTGCCTTAAATGTAGTTTCCCAGCCCGCCTGGTGGGAACAGCTGTTATTCCAGCCTGTGTACACGCCCTGGGCACTATTAGAGCCAATCGTTTCTCATGTGTTTTTTCATCCAGCCTCATGTGGTTACCCTGCATGCATGTGCTGATCAGTATTTAGTGCTCCAAGGGCACCCTCTGCAGATCTCCAGAGTTCTCTCCCTGTGCAGCTTTCACTTTTCTGGTAGCCTGTCTTATGAACCCCCTGCTGTCTCGGCTTCCTTGGAGTTTCAGTCCTGTCTTCTCAGCTCAGGAGCCACTGAGCTCTGCCAGGGTTCTCCCGCCTGTGCTGCAGGCTGGAAACTTTCACAGGCAGTAATCTGGAGCAGCCGCACATTTCTCCTGATTTGTTTTCCATCTCTCAGGAATCACTGTCTTTTGCCACCTGATGTCCCATGTCTTGAAATGAAATTTTTCATATACTTCATCTACTTTTTAGTAGTTTCAAGGGGTTGGATAAATCTGGAAGTAAAGTCTGGTGGCATTTTTGTCTTTCCATTTGTGTCATTATACATGACCATAATGAAAACAAAGAGATTGGTACATTTTTGAAAAGTCCTTCTATCCCTTTATAATCATGATGCTAGAAGTTCCTTTAAAGCAGCCACTTGAAGTGATGTAAGGTAGAATGTGTATTAAATCACCAGGGGAACTTTTTAAAAAGTATGCCTGCTGGTTCCATCCTCTGATACGTGGATTCGGTAGGTCATGTGGGTTGTACGGTGTGCATGTTTGTGAGCAGTTAGAAGCCTAGACCTGTATATTTTGAAAAAGTTCCCAGTGTTCTCACGTGCATCCTTTGTTATATGCGACTACTCACTTCACAGATGAAGTTGAGTGAGGTTAAATGACTTGTCCATGTCACATAGCTATTTAGTGACAGATCCACAGCTCTCTCTCTCTCTGTTATTTATATAATAAATATTTAATATTTATTCTTA